CAGCAACACCATTTAATTTCAGCCACAAACAACTGTAAATTTATCTTCATGTTTAGTTTATTCAGGAGACTAACAACTTGGGCACTAGCATGAAGTTGATAAGAGTTAACTTTTGAATTTGTAATCCTATGGAGATGTGGCATTTTTGAAAGCAAAAATATTTACTTCAATGGAAAAAGAAGAACTATAACTTTTTGCTTTATAATTTTTATGCAGTGTCTTGATATTTTAGCAGCTAAATTAGATGCACTAGGTTCATAACAAAGGTCATGGCTGCAATGACTAGTAACTATCATCAATTCAGCAAGGTCAGAATTTTAACAGTTCATATAACACAATTTAATAGCATAAATGGACAGAAAAACATACCCCAAACTTTTTTTTTTTTTGACAAAAAAAAGCATACAATTGAACTTTATGCAACAAAAAAATACGTGAAGCACATATTAGAGTTTCAGACCATCTTAGATTAGATAACACCATTGCTTTACAGTGGGGAGAGATAACTTGGTTTTCCTATTCTTCTTAACATGTCGATCATTTTCATCTCCAACCACGGGGGATTTATTTATTTATTTATATTTCTGATAATCAACAGAATGAAGTTCATCCATTATAGAAGAATCCTGCTGCACAAAAAGCTGGGCAGCAGGTACAATACAAAACAGCATCAAGCTGAGCAGGCTACACAATATTTCCAAAACCAGGTGATCCAACCAAAGGGGATTCAATTTCGTTGATTTACTTATGACACAGATACCGTGATCCTTCAGACGACCACATTCCTTCTATCCATTCATTCCCTTGTGCGTAACGATTCAACCAACGAAAGAACCTATTCGACACGTTTGAAAGGTATTCTTTTCTAATCTTCAGGCCTAGGATCCCTCCTATCTTAAATGATTCTCAATTTCCGTTAATCTGTTTGTCTTTCTAATATACCCTCTTCCTCGATGATAAACTTGGGGAGTCATATTTCATGATTATCATTGCTTATAAAAAATTACGAAACCGGGAAACGAAAACATACAAAAAATGAAATGAAAAGAAAAAGGGCATGAAAAACAAAATAATCAACAATTCGAATATGGTCAGAAAAAAAAAAAAAAAAAAACCTGGAAACAAGCAAAGGAAGACAGAATAGATGAGAAAGAGACTAGATGCTTCAGAATTCAGCAAAACTCGAACCGTCATAGCGGTTGTTCCTCGCAAGATCGGTTATCTGATTGACTGATTAAATTGATCCGGAAAGATAACAGTTCGAAGGATGCACTGGCTTTTTCCTTTTTGGGAAGGGAGATGCCGGGATGGGTTTTATTTTGCGATATGAGAGATAGTGGTTTCCGAGGAACACCTAATGCCTGTCAGAGGACTGACTCTCGTTAGCGCGTTCAGGGCATGGGAGGGGCACCTTACGCGCAGAGGAGAGAAAGACTGGTTCTCATGGCGGCCCACGGGACCCAAGTCGATGACGTAACCAAACGAGAAGGGGGTTCAGAAGGATCATATCCGTCCATTACTAATTATTCCTAATTACATTTTTAAATATGAATAAATTGAAAAAAAATTGAAAGAGGTTTCCTTGAATCGGGTGAACTGAAACAGTCCGGATTTGCTCCATACTCCATTCTCACAACGCCTCCCAGCCGCATATCGAGAACATCTCCCGTATTTATGTCGATTCAACTGGAGCATGGAGATTTCCTGCAGGAGCACGACTGTCCTATTTATGCCACGTGAATGTATGATATGGCCGAGGAGATCTGCTCCTCACACAGGGCGTCTCACACCGAACTCACACGCACACTCCACCATTCATTGGGAATATCTCTCGTAATTGTAGTTATTATTCACGGAAGATGTTCCCAATCGATAGTGGATGTACTTGTGAGGCGCCCATATGTGAGGAGCAGATCCGGTCTCGATATGGCCTACCTCTAAATCCGCATTATAATGGGAGTGGGTCCTATTAACGACGGGATGAGGCGGAGGCAGAGCCTCATATTGGATTTACCACTCGTTCAACCCATAGGCCACAATCCAAGTTGTCCATGCTGAGACCGGATCTGCTCCTCACACAAGGTGCCTCACACGGACCTCACGCACATCCTATCATGCATTAGGAACATCTCTCGTAGTTATAAGTTATTATTCACAGGAGATATTCCCAATGCACAGTGGATGTGCTGTGAGATGCCAAGAAAAAGAAGAATTTTTTCTTAYTTTCTTCATTTTTCTCCTTATATCAATAATGGAGATATTCTCAAAACTCACAGAAAAAAAGAAGTGACTTAGACAAAAAGATAAGTGACTTAGACAAATCTTGTTTGTCGATAACCTCTCGTCGATGTCATATGGCCCATATCTACTTTCTGGGTTGTTCGGAAATGTTTGCTTCTGATCCACACTACAATGTAAATAACATTTTGCTTATTTAGTCCACAATTCCACATTATACCGAGTTTGCATCATCAGCCGGCCCATAGGCGCCCAATAAAATAGCAAACAGCCACCAGGTGATTAGGGGTGAGTAAGAAAAATCAAAATGACAAATAATGGAATCAATTTCGGTTAATTAAATCGGCCGGTTTGATTTCAGTTTAATATAACAAAAAAAGGACTATGGATCCTTTGCCCACAACACACTATCCTAGTGTATTAGGGATATCTCTCTGTGCATAATATTATGTAGGAGGATAAAATGTTTTTCATGTGTGACTGTAATGTAATGTGGGTAGAGTTCTTGTGGGCAAGAGATCTGGACTAAAAAAAAGGTTTATCTTTGGGTCAGCCTTTTACCTAGTCGATTATTCCAAATTTCTTGAACACTATTCTTGTAAATGATATTTCATCAAGCTTGAGTTAATGAATGGTTTTTTATCAAAATAAAAAATAAAAAACTGGCAATTAATCAAAATCAATGATATACATATATTTATAATATATAACATATAATATATTATTTATTATTTGTTATATAATATTTTATATGTATTTCTAATTTTTACTACATATTTATTTATAATATATATTATAAAAATAAAAGAAAAACGAAAAATTTGACAAACTAAATCAGGGGTCAATAGAACCGATCGGTTTCGGTTTGATTTCGGTTACTAGTTTTCCAATAACTGATAGGTTCAATTTGGAAAAAGGCCCATGGTTCGGTTAAGCCCTAACTAGGGCTGCAAGTTGGGCCAGGTTAGGTCAGGTTGAGGCCAACCCTAGCCCTAACCCAATCCAACCTTCAACTTGACCTAACCAACCCTAACCCTAACCCTAACTAAATTCCTTCAACCCTAACCCAACCCGATTTTCGGGTTGGGCCCAACCCAACCTTCTTCCCATCCCTTAAAATCTCGTAGAACTTTTTAATCTTAGATCTTAACTCAACTTTCACTACATATGTTAATCCTATGTTTTATTAGTATTTTTTTATTGATGTTTTTTATTGGTTCTTTAAGTACAAAATAAAAAAAGAAGTGTTTGAAATGATTATAGTTTATTATGAGTTATAGCTTATAATAGATCTTTTATGGGCAGTAAGCTATGGGTGGCAAACAACAGAGAGGAGATAAAGAATAAAATATTCAAGAAACATAAAAAATGTTATTAAGTTTTTGGTATTTACAATTATGATTAAGTGAATTGATTATCTTAAAAGAAATAAATGATAGTATGTAGTAGGGGCTATACAACTATCATGCATATAAACAAATCAATGTGTAATATTTTATATATATATATATATATATATATATATATATGATATGTACTATAGAATCGGGTTAAGGTTGGATTGGATTGCCTGATGGGTCAACCTTAACCCTAACCCGAGCATCAACCTGACCCAACCCAACCCGGCTTTTTTTTTGGGGTTGGGTTCAGGCCAACCCAGCCCAAGTTGCAGCCATACCTCTAAACAGCCACCTCTCCTCCCACTTGTACACCTCCCTTAATGCATGCGGAGCTAATGAGCGTCAGTTCATCTCGTTAACTCCCAAAACCCAAAAATCTCATTCCCTCTCTCATCTCTCAAGTTTGTTTTCTATTTTCCTCTTTTGTCTTGTCCCAAAATTTCATAACCAAACTTGGACTCCAAGGTTTTTTTTCCTGGTTTTATTTAACAAAATATTCACACCATCCCAACCAAGGTTAAAGTATTGGTATCGAATGTCGTATCAAACAACTTGGATACGGATACAAATATGGATACGCTTTGGAAACGCATGGATACACACAAAAAATATGAAAAACTCGGATATATTAGGAAAACACATGCAAATTTCATACATACATTAATAACACTAAATGGATGGTCAAATAACTATAAATAATGTATAAATATATAAGAAATATATATTTAATGTTGTAATTAAGAGTCCAAGATGGACTTATTATATTTATCCTAATTATTATATCAATTATTTTCTATTTTATTATTTTTACATTTTAACATCAACAAAAAAGTTAACCAAATATCAAATTCTCAAATATAAGTTAAATCATCATTTAATAATTTATAAGAATATATAATTTTAAATTAAAATATATAAAATTGGTTAAAATTTCTAAGA